GAAAACTAAGAAATTATTTGATATTACATCATGGTTTATATAAATATGATTTTTTATTTAACTAACAACATACAATTGTTATATTTTGTCTGTCAAGTCTCATGCTTGTTTTATATCAAAAACCACTTCAGCCCGACGAATGATTCAACAATTAAAATAATTTTTTACATTGGTACTTGCGTATTGCAATTTATCGTTAAAACTATTATGGAATTAAATGCTTAACCTTTTAATATGACAACTAAATACAATTAAGAAAAACAGCCAATAATAAACAGTACCTAAACATTTATCAGGACGTTTACCTACAAGTATTAATCCCCGTCTTACTAACACACAACATGACAAATGGTAACGTTCAGAAAACCGTTTGAATTTACCTATTGTTACATTAAAAAAACAGAATATTAGATAAGGCCTCGTAGTTTAAAAAAAAATATATTTACCTTAAAATGTATGTACAAATTAATAGGTGTTTATTTATATTGCTGTTAATACATTTTAAAATGTTCAAAGAATTTAACGACTTTAACATAAGTCATAAATATAAAAAAAAACGTGGCTTGGCGTGACGCGTTGGCTGCTATCAGTCGCGGAATGCGACTGGGAGTAAGTAACGGCCACAGCTACTAACTCCCGGATGGGTGACCACCCGGGTTCATAAAAGTTTACAAACCTTGCCACACACACGTGTTTGCTACCGATCGTAAAAACCATAACAATCGTTAAAACAACCTACCGTACCAACTTTACCCCTACCACAGTTAGGCTAAGGCCAAACGTAAAGGCCTAAGTCGTTCGGCTTAAGTTTAATAAAAAAAAAACTATGAAATTCACTAGGTACCTATATTAAGTAACCAATACTTCAAAATATACATATATATAATATATATAATATAGGTACGTACATCTAGAATACTAAATAGGTAGTTTAAAATGAATCTAAATATATGTTGAAAAGTCTCTATACGAATAATGTTTATCGAATTACAAATTAAGTTTTTTTTTGGTTTGAATGTTAATTTTTTTCAACAATTTAAAAATTAAAAAACTAAATCCATTCATTATTACTTTCAAAATTTAAAATTTGAGTGGCATATTTTTACAGTTAAATTTTGAGATTCTTCGAGTAAACAACTTAAATAGCTGGTCATTTTAGCGAATTTCAAAATATTTTAGTTAATAGTTATAAATTATATATTGTATATACTTAATGTCCATTTAAATATTAAATACTTTTTAAAAACAAAATATAATTAATATAATATAGTCTATAGTTAAAACTTTTGCAGATTCTTATTATTTAGTAAATTTTCTTGCAGTTTGTTTCAATGACCCGCGTGTATATGCGTGAATACTAGTAAAATACTGGAATAAATAAAGTACCAGTTTCAAGGTGAACTCGACAAGTTGAACAGCTCGAGTGGAGTCACAAGGAAGTATGGTAATCGTGATCTTGCAGTAGCTATGAGGTTTTATTTCTATACTTTTATCAATAACAAACCTGCTAAACTGGACTAACACCGCCAACATGGTAAAAACTAGCTCACCATGGCCTTACACGAGGCTGTAAACACTCAGAATTATTTGACGCATTAAGGAAATTCGAACTGTATAGACTTATACGAAATAAAGGAACAAAATATAAGTATAGATACACCAACATAATATTGATAAAATACATTAGAATACATAAATTATATTTGTTGTTTTACCTATTTAATAAAAAAAAATGCATGCATTATATTTTAAAATAATGTTTGCCAACACCTTTACTTTAATGTATTTCAAATTATCTTTCCAATCTCTATAAATCACATAGTAAAAAAAGGAAAATCTTTTATTTCAAAAATAATATTATTTTACAGGGTAAAAAAATAATTATCATAATTCATACCGACACGAAAAGAAAAAAGATCATAGTCCATTACCAATCAAAAGATCAGATAAGATGAAATTGATAAACAATAAATTCTTTACAATTCTATACAATTGATATGTGATATTTCACAAACTTCTAAAAAATCTTAAAATACCATCTCCTTCTATTTATTTTTTGTTATATTTTAATCAATGAAGCAGAATATTTTTTGGAGTATTTTGATACGCAAAATTGAACTTTTAACAAGTAGTTAATTAGTTATAACTCACAACTTATATGTATTTTAAGTTTAAAAGAGTGGTGTAGTGACTAGTCAACTTTTGCAAATTCTTATAATTTAGTAAATTTTCTTGCACTACTCAACTCCGCTCAATTAAACTTTAAATAAGACAATAGGTATTTCTATAAGTTATAATTAGGGCTGGAATTTAAATGCCCTTAAAAAACCCGAAAAATGTCCTAAAAATGCTTTTATGACCTACAAACTCCAAATAATGCCCTAAAAAAACCCGAAAAAATGCTTTTATGATCCACAAATTTTTTTATTTTTAATAATTTTAGTATAAATTACAATAAAAAGTTTTAAAAAATGCATTATAAAATTCTATTACAAGTTTAAACTGTAAATACATAGTTTTTGTATAAATCTAAAAAAAAAATTGATTGTCCGATAATATAATACGAATTACCAGTACCTACTTATAGTCTGTTTTTTTATTTAAAACCATGTAGGTGTAAAAATCTTAAAATTTTAAAATACAATTTCAAATTCATACACTTGGTTTCCAAAAACTCAAAAAATGCTCCAAAAACTCTAAAATGTCCTAAAAAATTAAGAAAATGACCTAAAAACTAAAAAATGCCAAAAAATGCAAAATAAACTTTCTTATTCTCATTCAAATGTACATAAAACAAATTTGTGACAAGACGAGCATTGCACAGTAAGCTTTGAAAAACAATGCAAAGTGCATCGAAATCCCAGCCCTAGTTATAAGTAATTAACAATTAACAATAAGATTAAAGTTCAATTTAAGTATTGAAATATTACGAAAAATGTTCTGCTGCATTATGAAATTCAAAATGTCGTATAAAAAGAAAAAATTTGAAAAATGATAAAATTAAATTAAAAAATGTTATTAGGATTTTGTTGTTTGACAGTGATATATAATTATGTAAAAACATTTAAAACTTCGAGATATTAAATGTTCACTTAAATATGACATTGTATATCCGACTAAATGGATTACCTGGATTTTCAAGCAAATAGCAGACATATTATTCATAGAAGAAAAGATTGTTTTTTGTTGATTAAATTTCGTGTATTATTATTTTATATACCTACCTACCGAATGATAATTAAATGTCAAAAATATAATACGAATATAATACACTTTTTTATTGAAAAATTGAGGTAGACGAGATAACAAGGATGACCATAATAGGTAGTCTTGGAAATATTTTGGCAGTCGAGATAACCTATAAGTTCCAGTGAAAATTGAAAGTATCTATTGTTATATTATATTTTTGTACCAACTGCATCTAATTTCCTACCAGTATCCACCGTAGAATTATTACTACTCGAAAAATAGATTTAAAAAAAACACATTTTAAAACCAATACGTTCATTACTTCACTCTGAATCTAAAATAGCTTAAATACTGTCCAAGGTATTATTATTTAATAAAAAATATTGTTATAGGTGCCAAGTACCAATAACTTTACTCTCATTTGTAACGTATTACAATATTTTTCTGCATATCGATATGATAGTAATAAGTGGTTATTAAAACAACCAATACAAACACACTCAAACTATTTATTAATACTAATTCATAATAATAGTTTGTATGAAAGTAACTAAACATTGATTACAACATGTATCACTATAATATATAAATAATATTATGTAATTTAAATAGGTTTACTTTAATGATAAAACTGGTTTTCAATTGTTATCTTAAATTTACGTTTTCTAACCAATAACTGGAAATATTCATAATTTAGGCACAATAATTTAATACCTAAATATTAATCATTTTATATCAATACTAGATGAATTAATCAATGACCTAAAATAAATCATTCAAATTACAACAGAATTGTAGGAATCAATGTAAAATGTTACTTATGAAGTTATTTATCTATACCTAATTCTTTTTCAACTGTACATTTCCAAAAATTATATAATTACAGAAAAATAAATAATAAATTAAATGTAGGTAACATAAGTAATGTAAGTTCTTATGGGGTATCTATGGAATTTAAAGGAGGATTTACAGTTCTTACATTTGAGTTTGAAAATTATAATTAAAATATGGTTTGCTTGAAAAACTTTTCAGACTATTGTTAAGTATTGAAACTTTCTAAGACTTACCTTGAAACTTTTTTTTAAAACCTAATGTGGTAAAAATTAAGAGTAACTTGTTAAGTTAATGTCCTATTAACATGGATGTTAGAAACAATAATTATATGTAGTAATCAAGCTAAATAAATGCTAGAATTTTATATAAATATGAAGGAAATATGCCTAGTGCTGTTATATAAATATAACAATAGATTATAGTGTTTGTTGAAAAATTGTCATCACCATATGAATGGGTGGTTATAAAATAAGATAATAATTATCATCTTATTTGATTGCGTAAACTCTGACAAAGAGCAAGTGTAATGTTATCTATATGATAATTACATAGATATTAGACAGAAAGTAATTATTAAGCAGTTTATTGAAATACCAACAAATAAAAACAACAAAACATAGATCCGGAAAAAAATAGACTGTTGATCATTTTCTATCAAATTTCTACAACTATAATCATAGATACTTATACCGAAAACAAATTGTTGATTGTTGATGTCAAGACTTCATTAGAATAACAACATTTGATTTACAAACAGTTTTATCAGAATGTAATAATTGTACCTAATATTTGTTTAATGTGATAACAAGTAACACCTTTAGTCTTTAGTTCTTTACCAAACAAGGAAATGATGTACAGAATAGACATAAATGACATTAATTGATTAACAAGAAAACGCCTATATAAATAGTAGGGGTAGATTTAGACATAGGTTAGCCATGCAAGTTTAATTAACCCAAAGTATGGAGATGGCTTACCTTTTTAAAAGTTGAGGAGCCAGGTTGATCCGGTCGGAGCTTTATTGAAGTTTGAGAAATTGCCTACTGGTTACTGGTCGATTGCATACTACCAAAACCAAATTCGTTTTATTTACTGGATTTTTCGACGAGATATCTTAGGTATCTATAATAACACGCACACACTGTATTCGTTGTCGGTGGCTAGGGGTAGAAATTTCGAAACCGCGGTGTGATTGACGCTAACACGACGGTTATGATAAAAAACCCTAAGTAACAAAATACAACACGTGTGAAGTTGAGCGTGATTAATAAATACGTGAAAGAAACAACCAAATCGATCACTATACAAAAAAAATAATAAGAGCCGAAGAATAACACCAGAGTACGAAACCGATACCGAGGACGACAAAGGAAATGGCCGGTTGCGGCGGGCCGCCGGCGCCACCTATCGAACAGACAAGTAAAATGTGATATCGATTGCGGTGATTCCAAGGAGAATAGGTTAATGTAATAATTTTTTCACTCCTTGATATCCTATCTGATATACCCTTATACATCATACCTTAATTGAACCTACCTATCACCTCAGACTATATATGAAAATAATATATTTCATATACCTAGTCTGTGCTACCACCTACTACGATATATATTACCATTGACTATTGAGGGTGGTTTCATTTACATTCCATAAGCAGCTGGTGGGTATAATGGTGGTAGTTTTCGAAATCTAATATTATTTTCATCATTTCAAATGTATGGTTATTTGTCATTTACGTATTATGCATCAAAATAATCTAATAGATCCGTGAGATTTTCGGGTAAATTGTTTTTTAAATATGTAATTCCTTCCTCTATTCAAGGTGCAAAGAAAGAAAATGCAAGTGCGTAAACGCCTTAAACTATTCTACCGTACACCAGACATTTGATGTTTCCGTTTAAAATGTATAAATATGTATAAATAAACTTTGAAAACTAGCAACAAAGCAATTTTCGGGGATTTTTTTCCTAGATTGTGATATTCTGGATGCACCAAGTACGAATTTATCGTAATTTATTGAGATATCACTATAAGAATATCACCTACTTATAATGTTATTAATAATTATTTATTACTTTATTAATAATTGATTTTTCTATTAATATTTACTATTTAGACATTTAGTAATGCTCTAATACAGTACGTTGAACACTTGAACTAGTTCTTACCAAAAAACTAATCACATAATATGTTACAGTAAAAGTAGTATGATTGAGAAACCAACTCATAAGAATGTCTTATACGTCTTATGCAGTTATATACAGCCATACAGGCATTAACTTCTAACTACGAGTCTACGAGTAACTAGTAACTAGTATATTATTCAGTACAATTTAAAGCCTTAAAGACCGGGGCCAAACAGCGTCTTATACTCTTATGCAGGAGCTTCATTAGCGAGTTGTATATATGGTAATTATTTAAATATTATAACATACTATGATATTACAGTAGAACTTCGATTAACCGTCACTGTCGGGACCGGGGCTATGACGGTTAATCGAAGACAGTTAACGGAAATTTTGCAAAAAAAAACGTGTGCATACATATATGTACACACATTTATTATATTTTTTACGTGTGTGTACTTTAAAAAAAAAATTACTTACATATAACATATAAATTAATTATTATAACACTTATAAATTATAAACATACATACCACACAAATTATAAAAAAAAATCTGTAATTTTAGTTTGGTTTTTTGATTCTCTAGCTTTTTTAGCAGCAATATTACGTATTTGACGTAGAAGTAAGATTAGCGTAGCATTTGACAATCGTCTAATCGCCTAATTATTTATTTGTTCGGCGATGACCGATGACGGATAACAGAGAGTGACGGTTAATCGAAGTTCTAAAGTAACTGTACTATAGTAATAACTAATAGTTGTAATTAAATTGTATGGATAAGTCAATACTCACAGAGTACGGTTGTACACGGAGTAGGATTGTAGACCGATGTGAATTTTTTCTTCGTCTAAATATTTATAGCTTGCATTGTGTTAAGTAAATTATCATATATACGTGAAAAGTTTCAAGTTCCTATAGTATTCGACACCATACATCATATTATATGAATTATAACAACTAAAATCATTATTTTCCAATTAAATATCAAATTTAGTCAAAATTTTAACTGAAAAGTTAAATGCCTAGAAATATGAACTTTTATTTTTCTATTTTTAGATTTCTGTAAGAACAACTTATGAGAAACATTGTATTACATTTGTAAGCCACAACTATAAGAATTTAAAATTTTATAAATGTGTAACTACAAAAATATTTGCATGATTTTCACAAATTTTGCCTGCTTATGTTTCAATTACAAACATTTGAAGAAAAAAAATTGTGCCTGTATATTTATAAAGATAGGTTATATTGTATTTGTATATAAAAATGAACTGTTAATATTTTTAAACTACTACCTATCAGGAAAACTTATGTGTTTAACTTGTATTACATTTCCAAGGTTTTTGGCTGAGCAGTACTATATTATATCAACATATAAAAAAATTCAAATGCTAAACAAATATAACTTAAAATTAGTTAAAATATTTAAAAAATATCATAATGGATAAAGAAAATAATAGCTTAAAATGCTTAAATAATAATGAAATGTTTCAAGTTTCTTCGATTGTTATTTTTTGAATAATCATAAAAAAACAAAAATCGTCAGAGGCCTAATATCATTATTGTAACTTAGAAAATCCTGACAAAATAAAAATATGTTATAACTAGGGTTCGGATTTGAAGGCAATATAATCAATAAAAAAAGCATTTAAAATGTAAAAAAAGGCAAAAAAAAGGCATTTAATTTATATCAAAAGGCAATTCATAAATATACTACAAAATAAAATAATAAACAATTTTTAAACACTTTCAAATGCACATATTTTGAGAAAAATACAAATTAAAATTGAGCATGAATACTAAACTATATTAAGTTTATGCTATTTTGTATAAATAGATTAGGTACCTTTTTTTAAAACCATGTTTGTCCCAAGAATTAGTTAAAAACAATTTTAAATATTAACTTACTTGAGTTATACTAGTTAATTTAATGCAAAATAAACTAGTTGGTATTAAAAAAAAATTGACTACCATGTATTGTGATAAGCTGTCTTCAGAAAAATTAGGGGTTAAAATATTTTTGTACATCGAAAACGATCTTTCTACGTCCACCGAAGTTATCGGGGTTATTTCATACTTAAATAATTATCTAAATTAAGATTGCAAATTGATAGATCGTCTTCGCTTGTGTTTTCTCCAATCAATACTTGGTTGATCTTTTTGATATTTTCCCATCCCTTGTTCTTCGATATAACTTTGTTGAACCTAACCAAATACTCGATAAGATGATATCGATTAATATTGCGAATAATAAAACTCATTTGTAGCGATAATACGCAAGCTGTGTATACAATTATAAAATCAACTGAAAAATTAAACACAAAATAGGCATTTATAAGTACAAAAGGTAAAAAAGGCAAAAAGGCATTTATAAGTAAAATGGCAAAAAAAGGCAAAAAAAAAAAGATACATCGTCTAAGAAATTAAATGAAACACATTTTTGTATAAAAATTATTTTTCTATTGTGATTAATAAGAGAAAGGCATTTGCCTTCAAATCCGAACCCTAGTTATAACATAAATCATAATAATTAGCATCTAGATTATAATATATAAAATAGAAGGATTTATTTGGAAGTAATTATTGATGGCTTCTACAGTTTGACCTATCCAATGTACCAAATAATGAACTTCTTACATATTATGTATTATAATTAGATAGCTTAGAACTAGCTATTCGCATTTACGAAAACAGCATTCACGTATAAAAACAATTAACAACAAATATGAGTAACGGGAACACCATATTATTTTATAAGGGAGTCCACAGTAAAGCATTTTTAGATGTACCTATAACCTAACCTACCTGCATTGTAGCTTGAGTCCTGAGCTCCTTCACGTCACACGACTTGTATAGTTACCATGTAACTTTAAATTTGCATAGTACTTATAAGTTATAAGTAATAACTTGTATTTTCAGTCAGTAAACTATTTCATTAAGTTTTTATTGTTTTAACTTTTAAATTAGGTAATTAAAACATTTCACCATGCAATAAAATTAATACCTAGATTTTTATTCACTGTTGCTGAGCCACATAAAACACCACAAAAATTAAAAATTATCATTTAGTATATAGGCATGTATACGTCATGGTCCAATAATGAGCAGCTAACTGAATAAGTACCACCTACTACCAGTTAATCACTTTCTTTCCATTCTGTATATTATATTATTATTATCTATGTAATATAAATATTTTAAGTATTTGGCTAAGTAGTTAAAATTGTATGTATTCAAAACTTAAACTTAGATTAACCCTCTTAACACCCAACTGTCCAACCTAATAACTATCATCCGCAACTATTCCGAGAAATCCAAAAGGAGGCTATAAAAAAGAACGATATAAATGTCTTTTTATGTATAGGCTTTTTTTGCGATTTGGTTTAAAAAAAAAATTAAAGTAGATTAGGTACTTTTAAGTGTATTATGTAATAACTAATTCTAATATAACTATTATCATTATTATGATTATTATAACTAATATTTCACACCGAAGTACATCCATATTCCATTGGAACATTGGAAGGCCTCACTCTTTTATTCTCGCATGTCATTATTTGTTATTATTTTATCAATTAAACTTATTTTTCTGTTCTGTAACAGCTTTTTTCCTTTCCGAAAATCCCCCAATCTATATTAATTAAGATTGAGTATTTTAGTGGATTTAAGAAAAAATCTTCGTATGAAAATCACCGTTGCAACTATACCTGACAGTACATAAGATTGGAAAAAAATATATATACGTTAAACTATTGACCCTATTTACTTCTAAGTCCCGATTTTATAGTCAAATTTTTTCTAACAAATAATAAATAAGTTATTTGACAGATAAGAAAAAATAATTTTTCAATGTCAGAATAAACTTACCTATTAGTTATTTGTCAAATTGTCAGGTATAGTTACGAATCAATTATTTGTGACTTTTTGTATCGAATTATTCTAGTTCAACAGATGACTTACAGCTTATAATATAAGTATTCATTATTACTTATATTATAATTTATCAGATAATTACAAAAATGCAATTATTTTGTATTATAAATTATAATAGTTAGGTAGTATACTTTATTATTATGATACAGTAGGTATTTCAGTAGTTGATAGCTTATATTATATTATACGCACTACGCACATATAATTAAGAATGATTATTTAAATTTAAAATCCACTTAAAAATAATCGGACGGCCATGAACTTGGCCCACCCACGTTAACCAATACACATCAAAAGTATGCCAAAAAATAGCGAATAAATAG